GTCAAGGTGACCTCGTCGACCCGTTTTGTACCCCAGGCCCACGCCAATCTGTCTTTTTTTGGCACATGGTGGCTTAAAGCCTTAAACCACCACCAATACCTTTCCTCGCTTGAAAAAAACAATTCCCCAGCGGCTTACTGAACTTGGCGGCAAGTGGGGTTTTGGCCGCTGCTGATAAATTTCATCGGCAGCCTGTGCTCCGTTTTGGGCCTGCTCGTGGCAGATTAGTGAGAGGATGAGATGGATGCGTACTACCGAGAAAGATGAAATAGATTGAGAGAAGAATATAGATTCCTTTTTTGAAAAGAACTAAAAAAAAAAAAAAAAAGTGCCCGTGGCCAATATATATGGGAAAGCTACTGGTCGTTTAAACGAACACTATTCCCGAAGCAAAGTTACCAAAGCGGCGCATTTTCCTGAGCCTGGGGCAAGGTCCCACTTGCACCAATTAAGAGATACTGACCGTAGATACCAAAGATCAACGGTCGAAATCTCCTAATTTGCGCAAGTGGGACCTTGCCCTGGAGAATGGACCCAAAATTACCGAACCCGCAGATTTTCAAGAACCTGAAGCCTACTGGTAGCATCACTCGAGCAAGAAGGGCCTCGCCACACGGCACACAAAATGTAAATGCGTATGCCGATGAAAGATGACAAAATAGGTTCATAACGGTTCATTACTATTTATAGCAAACGGATGAACCTGTTCATTTTCTGTGGGAAGATGCACTTGTTTCGTTTTTCGTTTCATGTGCTGCACGACGACGCCCTACAAATGTGCATTTTTTTCCTTCTTGCAGGATTGGCTTTTGCCATGTAGTTGGCATAACAGCCAGGCCGCCAACATTGCGGATTGTGGTCAAGGTTCCAGAAAAAATAAAGCAAAAAAAAAAAAAAAAAAAAAAAAAAAAAAAAAAAAAAAAAAGAAAAAAAAAAAAAAAAACAAAAAAAATTTTTTTTTTTTTTCAATAATAAAAAGACCAACTTTTGGCTGAGGGTCACCGCATGGCACACCCCTTTTAAGTCCCTTTGATTGATCTTTAGTACCTGATGGCCCAATTTTTCTTTTGTTTTGTTTCTGTTGTTTCTGATGGTCCAATTTATTTTTTTATTTATTTTTTATTATATAAATTTTGGACCCCCCCTTTAAGTCCCTTCGATTGATCTTTAGCAAGCGATGGTTTTGTTTTGTTTTCTTTTTTCTGATGACCCAATTTTTTTATTTACTTTTTCGAAGTTTTTTTTAAGTTTTTTTAAGTTTTGTTTATAGAGAATTTGGACCATTTCTCGATTTATGTGTGTCATCCTTGCGCAGGGGCCATGCTAATCTATCTTCTGTATCGTTCCCATTTCGTTTTCCAAAACCACTCCTTTTTTGTGCCTGGCAGCGCTGGAGACCTCTCCACGGACTCCAGGCTCAGAGTTGCCGCCCAAAACGCCCTTCAAAAAAAAAAATCTCCGCTGGGGCACTCAAGACCCTGACCAAGTCGCCTGACCCTGACCAAGTCGCCTGCCCAGCCGGGCACTGGGCGAACTAACGTTGTTGGTTTTTTTTTTTCAGAGTTTTTCTGTCAAAGACGCAAATGAGATGAGAGCGCAAAATCACCGTAGTTAGGAAACACAATTTTGTTTCCTCCCTCCCTGGACGAACGGCCAGCCTCCGAGAGGCCGAGCCAATCTGTGGTACCTGATTAATCAGTTATGGGAGGATGTGGAGTCTGTGGAACCCCTACCTTCGTTCCCCGAACACAGTGCACCCTCATTATGCCTGTATATTAGCTGCCTTCCCAGTCAGACTCGGATGCATTCAGAATGAGGGTCCGTTGTGTTTGAGGGAAGATCGTCACTCGCCAGAATAGTGGTGGTTTTAACTGTTTGCTTGAAGCTGCCAACCATTACACAACATGACCAATAGGAAACATGTCACAGACACTGGCAGTACCTCTTCCCGTCTTCATTTTTCTCTCACAAAGCATGGACTTCAACCGCTGCCTCTCACATTAAATGACCAGTCCGCCCGCCACTGCCGGCAGAAAATGGTCATTCCGGTGAGTTAGGCGCGCAAAAGGCAGAGGGCGGCGACCGTTGGGTAGCTGGGTCCCGAAATCCTTCAAGTTTCAGCCTGGGCCCGTTGCATTTCATGAAGTCGGGGGGAGAGGGGGGGCGGATACTATGTGCCGGTAGAAAGGATTCACACAATTTCACAGCCAATAGCGGGAATGCAAAGTCAGTGAATAGCGGCGCGGGAAGGAAAACAAAAACGCGCTTTGAATC